TGCATGGGATGCCAGAGGCACATTTTCCCTGTTTCACAACTAGGGTGTCTCAAACTCCCTGTTTCCACACGTAGTGCCCAGGGGACCACCTTAGATGAGGAGACTTCTGAGAGCCTGTGGGAAAATGAAATGAAAAGATAAATTTAAATTTATTTTGGTGCAAAAAAAAGTTGACATCCATGCAGTTTTTTACCTCATTTTCCATGAAGTTTTTGAGGACACCTCCTACGTGTGCCCTCATACCTGTGTCCCTGTGTCAGACGGTCAGAGCTATAAGAGTGGGAGGGTGGTGAACTCTTTTTTTTTTTTTTTTTTAGATTCATTTGTGTGAAACAGTTAAAAGAGAGGAGAGGCAGAGACAGGTCTTCCATCCGCTGGTTCACTCCCCAATTGGCTGCAACAGCCGGAGCTGCACCAGTCTGAAGCCAGGAGCCAGGAGCTTCTTCCAGGTCTCCCATGCAGATGCAGGGGCCCCAAGACTTGTGCCACCTTCTACAGCTATCTCAGGATACAGCAGAGAGCTGGGTCGGAAGTGGAGCAGCCAGGACTTGAACCGGTGCCCATATGGGGTGCCAGCACTGCAGGCAGTGGCTTTTACCCACTACACCACAGCACCAGCCCTGGTGGTGAACTCTTGACTGTGCTAAACAACCACCAAACAGCTATACCCACATATCCATCCAGGGGCGGGCACAGAGCTTCCTGATGCCCCATCCTCACCAGCAGCTTCACCAAAACCTCTTTCTGGTTTTGCCTTTTTGGGGATGGGTAAAATAGTATGTGAATTGCACGTGTCTATTCTGTCAGTTTTTTAATTGTTTCCAATTGATTTGCAGAGTCTGTATTTTACAGATACTGGCAGGGATCCTCCTAATCTGTTCATTTTGTGCAGTTTGCACTAGTTACTTGGTTGTTTTTTTTTTTTCAGTTTATGATTTGCTGAACATTTTCCATGTCTTTTATTTTTCCACATAGTTTTTAATAATAATAAACTGATATTTGAGAAATTGTGCCATAAACAACCATTAATCTGCCCCTTCAGTTCTCTAAGGAAGATATCATTATGGGTTTGTTTTTTTTTTTTTAGAGAAAAGAGTAACATTATTTTATTTTATTAAGACTTGTTTATTTCTTTTTTTTCCAAGAAATCTTTTATTTAAGGAATACAAACTTCATGCTTTTCATAAGTACAACTTTAGGAATATAGTGATTCTTCCTACTGTACCCACACTCCCAACCCTCTTCCTCCTCCCTCTCCTATTCCTATTCTTCTTTTTTTTTTTTTAAGATTTATTTATTTTACTTGAAAGGCAGAGTTAGAGGCTGAGGCAGAGAGAGAGAGGGGTCTTCCATCGGTGGTTCACTCCCCAGATGGCTGCAACAGCGAGAGTTGTGCCAGTCCCAAGCCAGGAGACAGAAGCTTCCTCCAGTCTCCCATGTGGGTACAGGGGCCCAAGGACTTGGGCCATCCTCCACTGCTTTCCCAGGCCATAGCAGAGGGCTGAATTGGAAGTGGAGGAGCCAGGACTTGAACCTGCACCCATATGGGATGCCGGCAGTGTAGGCCGCGGCTTTACCCTATGCCACAGCACCAGCCCCACCCCATTCTTATTTTTTATTTATTTATTTATTTATTTATTTATTTATTTTGACAGGCAGAGTGGACAGTGAGAGAGAGAGACAGAGAGAAAGGTCTTCCTTTGCCATTGGTTCACCCTCCAATGGCCGCCGCGGCCAGCGCGCTGCGGCCGGTGCACCCCGCTGATCCGATGGCAGGAGCCAGCAGCCAGGTGCTTTTCCTGGTCTCCCATGGGGTGCAGGGCCCAAGCACCTGGGCCATCCTCCACTGCACTCCCTGGCCACAGCAGAGAGCTGGCCTGGAAGAGGGGCAACCAGGACAGAATCCGGCACCCCAACTGGGACTAGAACCCGGTGTGCCGGCGCCGCTAGGCAGAGGATTAGCCTAGTGAGCTGCGGCGCCGGCTCCATTCTTATTTTTTACTAAGATGTGTTTTCAATTAACTTTATACACATGATTAACTCTATACTAAGTAAAGAGTTCAACAAATTATATGAAACAAACAAACAAAAAAACTGTTCCTCAACAGTCAAGACAAGGGCTGTTTAAAGTCATTGCATCTTGAAGTGTTAATTTCACTTCTATAGATTACCTTTTAGGTGCTGTATTAGTTATCACAGATCAGGGAACAGATGATATTTAATAACATATGATATTTGTCTTTTGGGACTGGCATATTTCACTAAGTATGATGTTTTCCAGTTTCATCCATTTTGTTGCAAACAACAGGATTTTTTTTACCACTGTGTAGTAGTCCATGGTGTATATATCCCAAATTTCTTTATCCAGTTGTCAGTTGACAGGCATTTGGGGGTGTCATGTTGTCTTCCTTATTCTTGTTTCTTATTGGGTATTTGTGGTGATACTTGGGGTTTTTTTCCTCCCTGTGATGGCTTTTATCATTGAACTATGCCTCTGTGGCTTGATGGAATGTCTGCTCTTTCAGTGAATACCCAGAGGCATGTGCTGGGTATTGCCAGGGAGTTCTTATTCAGTGCTCCAAGATGAGGGGAGTGTCTAAGGTGACACCCAAGTTGGGCGTGGTAAATCTTTTTTTTTTATTTTTATTTTTTTTTCAGAGGGGAGGTTTGTTCAGCTCTGTTGACATAGTCTTAAATTCACCCCCGTCCTCAAGGGAAACCAATGCCTGGCACTAGCCCCAGTAGGTAGAGTTTTCATCTGTCAGAAGAACCACACAAAAGATCTGCGCAGTCCTGGGTGTGAACACGGATCCTGCAGCAATGACCCTCTCCAGGGAATCAGGGAGCCCCGGGCATGTAGAGCCTGTGGAGCTGCCTACAGTGACTGCCCAAAGTCCCAGCTACACCCTGCGCCCTCCCACGCAGCCACAGTGTTTTCACAGTCCCAGCACACAAGGCTCCCACAGTCATGAACTCCCAGCCCCCTGTCAGTTCTCCCAGCCAGACTCAGGCGTCTCCTCTTAGCTGATTGCTGGGTGCTCGGATACGAGCTGGCACAGCTGTTACATATGTCCAAAATGGCGCCTGCCCTCTCGGCTAGTTTCAGGACATGATGCTGGGTGGTCAGGGAGAGAGAAACGTGCTCCCTTTTTCCCCCTCTAGTTTGGCAAGTACACTATCCCCCACGGCGCTCCAAGCCGGACTCCTGCCAGACTCTTCCCACAGTCAGTGGCTTGGGCTGCTGCAGTCTGGTTTTACCTCACTCCAAAGCTGGTGCCGAGGCTTTCAGCTGCTGGGTCCTGAGCTGTATGCGTTCATACCCTCCATGTAGGTCCACAGTGTCCCTCTAATTTGCATGGAGTTTCCTCTGCCTCTCCCCTGAGACTGTACTCTCTCCACTTTTTTTATAACTACCTTACCCTAGACTAGAGCAGTATGCTCCCTCCCTATTCTGCCGTTTTCCTCAATATATTTTTTACTATGTGAGGTGCATTGCTAATTCAGTTTTTTCAGGTCATTAGAACTTCCTGATTAACCCAATCTGATTACAAACTATGGGCATCATTTGATTTGCTTGTATAACAAATAAATTTTTGTTTCTTCTTTTTTTAATCTTCCTGATTTTTCTGCATCACAAATTTTCTGAGAAGAACCACAGCACAGATAAATCTTTTAAGGGTAAAATGTTTTTCACTTAAAAATTGGTATTATTTGGTTAAATCTTTCTTTCAACTAAATAGGATATGAAATTACAAAGTTAAATCAAGACTTACTTCTTTGATTTGATTTGATTACGATAAATAGATGAGAAATAGAGCTGTTACATTGTTACCTTTTTCCTTTTGTTTCCTTCTGTTTTTATTTTGTTTTTAACAAAATGTGTAGCATCAGGTTTATTTCTGCCGGAGGGTGGAAGAAGCTGAATCCTCAAACCTGGCCCATAGCACAGACAGGCCCTGTGGGGCCGCCGCTGTGTTGCCGTCCTCTGTGACTCTCCAGAGCGGCCGGCAGCTGTCTGCCATGTGTCCCAAGCTTGTTCACACTCAGGCCCCTTTCATAGCAAGTGTCCTGCACATTGACGTGCCCTGGAGTTCACTGTTGGGAGACCTGGGAGGTTGGTGGCCAGGCTCCTGGGGTCCTCTGTTGTGTGGAAGGAGATGCTGTCCTCTGCCAAGTGATGAGTTGCAGGGTTTGTAAACAGGACTCTGCAAGCAAGTGCAGTTGCCAGGCTTGCAACCTAGGAGGAGTTGCTAAAGAACCACTTTCTGTGAACATTCTTTTCAAACCTGCCAGCCCTATATAGTTAGAGTACTCTGATATGAAGCCAGAACACCGGGACCCATGAGGCAAGGGACAGAGTCTCAAACCCCGCAAGGCACTGCCAATGAGGGGACAGTGGACAGGTAGTATCCCTGAGTGCCCACTGTGGTCAGGCTGTATCATTGCAACACTGGTGGCTGTGTGTGTGTGTGTGTGTGTGAGAGAGAGAGAGAGAGAGAGAGAATGATTTGCAGTTGGATAATGTTGCACATGCTCTGAGCTAGTGAAACTGCATACAAACAGGCTATGAGAGAAAGCTCCAAATTCTTAAGACCCACGCAGTGCAGCCCTTGCCTCCTTCTGGCCTCCCCCATCCATCCTGACGTGTCGGCTGTCAGAGAACCCCAGCGGGATCAGGCTCCCTCCTACGCCTCTGCCAGAGCACTCTGGCCGTCACACACTTATTTAAATCATTCTCGATAAGATGTGTTCGTGCTGGTCTTCCCCAGCAAATTACAGGCTCTGTGATGGAAGAGAAGATTGGATTCACCACTGCGTCCCACCCCTGGGGCCTGACATTTAGTAGACATTCAGAAGATACGTTTGAATCATAGACCGAAAGCCATGCCCCTGCTGCCTATAAACACGTCCTGAGTCCGGAAGTCTCCTCGGCGTTAGAGACGCTCGCTCGTGTGCTCACCACTTCTCACTGTGCCTTCTTGTATGTTTTATTTGACAAGACTCCTGAATGGCTGGACAGCGACTCCTGCCAAAAGTGTGATCAGCCTTTCTTCTGGAATTTCAAGCAAATGTGGGACAGTAAGAAAATTGGCCTGAGGCAGGTGAGTGAAATGGATGCTCCGTCCAAGGTGTAGCTGTGTGGAAGTAACCTGTGACCTTAGAAGAAATAACACCCCAGGGTGGGCCTTGTGGCGCGGGTAAATTATCACCCTGGAGTCACCTTGTGACTGCACACCAATGCACTCCCTTTGCCTGTTGGAGCTCACCCTGCCAGATCCACCTTCTTGTAGTGCTTTGTTCCCAGGGAGTGGTTACAGATAAGTGGCATCTATTAAAATACACCTTAAAATTAGAGGCATCATGCTTAACTCATCCTGGTACCAAACCACGAAATAGTGTAAGTGGTATTTATTTCTTCTTAATTATTTTACCTTCCCTCCTTCACACATAGTGTAGGGATTTAGATGTGCTTAGAATACAGTCCTTTTCAGTCTGATTCTGTGGTTCCGTTTGGTCTTCCCCAAGGAAATCAACTGTTAGGTCGCCTAGGTTGAGCGTGACCGAAGTCGACACAGTGGATCGGCTCAGGAGCCATCCTCGTTCTCCTTCCTCCAGCAGTGTCGCATCTGGAGATGGCACTTTTTGGGACAGCCACTTTAAGGTCCTCTGACACCTGGTTGCTTTCTCTGTGGTTCCTAGTAATGAGAATTGGAAAGGCCCGAGAACGGGGGAGAGGGCAGGTGGCACAGTCAGGCACGCTTCCCGGCAGCCTTCCTTCTGGTGTGTTCCTTTCATTGTCTGGTGCTCTGGTGTTGAGCATGCTCACCTCAACGCAACGGACGGTCCCCACGTCTGCCAGCAAGGGCACGGCTCGGACCACGGCCAACGCGTGCCTTCTCTCCCCCTGCAGCACCACTGTCGCAAGTGCGGGAAGGCCGTCTGCGGCAAGTGCAGCTCCAAGCGCTCCTCCATCCCCCTGATGGGCTTCGAGTTTGAAGTGCGGGTCTGCGACAGCTGCCACGAGGCCATCACGGATGAAGAGTAAGTTCCGCAGTCCACAGAACGAGAATCCACGGGGAGAACGACACCCTGTGCTCCAGCCGGGACTCCTGTTACCCTAGCATCTGCTGACAGAGTGTAGACCATAGCAAGGGGCAAAAGCTGTCTTGTGCCACCAAGAGATCTGTGTGGTCTTGTAAGATAGGAGAAGACAGAAAATGCTCAAAGAATTCTCTGTATTCTTCCTAACCCCGGCTATGTGCGTTTAAAGCAGATGTTCCCAGAGCACACCCTTCCGTCTGCTCATTTACTTGAGGATTGCCTACGAGTGCAGGGGCCCAGGGTTCACTTTCTAGCCCAAGCTGGGATCTTGCCAGGAAGAGCTAAGCTGCTTTGTCTAAGAAGTAAATATGCTCTGTTGCCCAGCAACATAGCTGCTGCTTGTCAGTCATGCCCAGTAACCTGGGACCTGAGGATACCACACCCCCAGTGAGTTTTGAAAGCTGTGTTGTCCCTAACTTGGGCTAGTTGAAAACTGCCCAAGGCCGTAAACAAGTGTCCAGTTACAGCAGGATCTCCTCGGTACCTTGTCTGCCTGCACTGTGGACTATAGTAGAATTGTGTTGTGTTCTTATTTATCCATATGAAATACAAATTAAGATGCCCTTGTATCGGTAAGCATTTATGTTCATTGATTGCTTTCCACTCATCAAGTATGATGAAGTGAATGAGAGTCCTTCTAATTGAATTAGAGAGCTACAAGAGACCTTAGAGAGATTCTAGCTTAAATCTGCCTTTGAGAAAGACACAGACCCCAGAGTCGAAGGGACTTGCAAATTAAGCCTAAATTGTTAGTTCTGAGAATTTAACTTGATCATTTTTAGTGTCCTGAAGGTCTACCCTACAAAGTCAGCTGTAGAAAAATGGCAGAAGAAACCCATCTTTAGAAAGCCCGCTGCAGCAGCGTGGGGGAGCAGCTGCCTCCTTTCCCACCTCCCTGTCTCTGGGGCCTCTTCACAACAGAGCAGCCTGGCCCCTGGAGCCCCAGGCAGTTGCTAAGTCTTCCTGCTTAAAAAAAGAAAAACATTAAAGTATACAAAGCAAATAATGACGTATGCTTCTATTTGGTTTTACTTGTTAATGTCTTACTAGTGAATGGGGAAAAGGATGGATGGCTCTCCAGTGAGGATGACGGTGTCTTGAGCATTTTAATGAGCATTTTTTATTAAATAGGTAGAAGTCGACAGTTTCACCGGCAAGTGCTCCGAGCTTGAACTTAGCAGAGGCGCTGTGGTTTTAAAAAGATGTCTCAAAAGCACAGGTGGAGGTTGTCACAGACCCCATCAGAGCAGACATTCTGTTAAGGACTTCGGGGATTCATCCCTTCCCATTCTGGAGACTGTCAGGATCCTTGCACCTGTTCTGTTTTGCTTTGCTTTGCTTTGTTATCATAGCAGAGCACAAGGAATAAAGGCAGATCTGAGGAGCACTTCTGCCAGTGAAGCAGCCTTAGCCAATAGACGGACACGCGTGCCTCGTGCCAGCCTAGGTCGCCTTCCTTGATGCCACTACCCTTTACTCTCAGAAACCTTCTCTGCCCTCTCCAGACGTGCGCCCACGGCTACCTTCCATGACAGTAAACATAACATCGTGCATGTGCATTTTGACGCAACCAGGGGGTGGCTACTGACTTCTGGAACTGACAAAGTTATTAAGGTAAGACATCAGCTTACTAAGAAGCTTTCTGTCTTTGGCTTTATGCAAATAGACGAGGGTACCAAGACCATGTGAGGCACTGCTCAAAAAGTTATCCTTAGCGGGGAGAAAGCCTATTAGCCTATGAGGCTCAAGACACTGATTGTACACAAAGCGTAAGACATGGTTCCAGTCTACAGGGAATGAATGGTCTACAGGGGACATACTCTTAAAAGGACAGGTAGTCATAGCTGCCACGTGCAGCAGTCAAAGAGTAACATAGACGAGAACTACGCCAGAGCAGGGCAGAGGTTAGACGGTGCTATGCAGAAGGCTTCGTGCTGGAGGTGGCCAGTGACTGACAGGCGGGGCTTGAGTGAGCCAACAGGTACCATGCAAGGTCTTTTCCCTGCGAGACCAAAGAATTCAGAAGCGTTCATGCAAGGCCTCCCCGGGACTGTGGTGGACCACACGGTTTCAGTGCCATGACCAAGGCCCAGGACAGACGAGCTGCTCCTGTGTCATTCCCCGAGAACCACAGAGGCGCATGCTCACCCAGTGCCCTGAGCTCTGCCTCCCTGACCCATTCCAATTCCATTCTCAGAGGCAGCAGGGGATGGGGTGGGCGGCATTATGGTGCTGTGGGTTAAACCACCACCCCCAGTACTGGCATCCCTTATCGGGTGCCGGGTTCGTGTTCCGGCTGCTCCACTTCCGAACCAGCTCCCTGATGATGTGCCTAGAATAGCAGCAGAAAGCGGCCTGAATAACTGGGGACCCGCCACTCACGTGCCACTATACCACAGTGCTAGCCCTCCTCTACGTTTGACAAGACATCTTGTGGAGTTGTTAGGAAGATTAAAAGAGAAGGTATCGGGGCCGACGCTGTGGCGTAGCGGGTAAAGCCACCACCTGCAGTGCCGGCATCCCCATATGGGCGCTGGTTTGAGTCCCAGATGCTCTACTTGTAATCCAGCTCTCTGCTATTGCCTGGGAAAGCAGTAGAAGATGGCCTAGGTCCTTGGGCCTCTGCACCTACGTGGGAGACCCAGAGAAGGCTCCTGGCTCCTGGCTCCTGGCTTTGGATTGGCACAGCTCTGGCCATTATGGCCAACTGGGGAGTAAACCAGTGGATGGAAGACCTCTCTCTCTCTGCCTCTCCTTCTCTCTGTGTGTAACTCTGACTTTCAAATAAATAAATCTTTAAAGAAATAAAACTAAAATAAAAAATAAAAGAAGGTATGAAAGGGACAAGGGACACAGCACATACTTGGTGTCCAGTATATGTTGGTTTCTTCCTCCTTTCAATGGGGCCAATCTCTTTCACTCTCCACTAGCTGGATCAAAATGTCAAGTTGCCATTGTCATGCTTCCCAGCATATGTTGAACTTCTTTTTTTTTTTTTTTTTTTTTTTTTTTTTTTGACAGGCAGAGTGGACAGTGAGAGAGAGAGACAGAGAGAAAGGTCTTCCTTTGCCGCTGGTTCACCCTCCAATGGCCGCCGCTGCAGCCGGCGCACCGCGCTGATCCTGGCAGGAGCCAGGAGCCAGGTGCTTTTCCTGGTCTCCCATGGGGTGCAGGGCCCAAGCACCTGGGCCATCCTCCACTGCACTCCCTGGCCATAGCAGAGAGCTGGCCTGGAAGAGGGGCAACCGGGACAGAATCCGGCGCCCCAACCGGGACTAGAACCCGGTGTGCCGGCGCCGCAAGGTGGAGGATTAGCCTATTGAGCCACGGCGCCGGCTTGAACTTCTTAATGAAAAAGCATTCTATAGATTTAGAAATCCTGTTTGTATATAGTATGTAGTTGCTTGTTAAATGCAGATGTTTCAGTTGAAGAATTCAATTATAAGGATTGCTTACCCTCAACACGATTTAATTGTATTCATCCTGTATTTTCTTCTGCTTACAGTTGTGGGATATGACCCCAGTAGTGTCTTGATGACTCTCCCAGGAATCGGAAGGATAGTGTTTACTAAAGAAATGGTTATTCTAACCCAGATCATTACTGGTGAAGTAAAGCGGTCATGTGAGAAGTAAGAGAGAAACTCGAGGCCGTAGATGAGTCTGCATTTACCGACACGCACAGTGGTGAACAGTGAGTGAGTGCTTGCTGGAGCCTCTTCCAACTTGTTCATACAATATAAAAGAAGATATTTTTTTAACAAATGGTTTATACAGTCTGGCTGTGCTACCTTGTTTTGAGTATACTGAAAAATCTGTGTAGTGTTTAATTTCTGTGTTTTCCAATGCTTCATGTTCCTTGTTGCTTTATGTGGGGAAGAGATGAGGATGTGTCGTTCAGGGTATGTGGGTTGCTGGAGCGTAAGTTGCTGTATTTTCTTTACTTGGGCACGCACCACATGGCCAGCATCTTTGTCTTCTTTTCTGTCTGCCTCTCCCACACCCTCTCTGCTTTCTGCCAGAGTACGTGCACTGGCACCATTTATCTCCATTCACGCCATTATGGTTCTGCTTCCATGTCCTTGTCAGTGGGGAGATTTGGAAAACCATGTGTGTGGCGTCAGCAACTGACTCCTCGAATCACCTGAAGATCATTTGTAATGCCTGACTCCTTCATGTTCTTACGAGTAGAAATGTTATGTTTCTGCCTAGGTTTTCTGTCTTGCCCACATTAACAAAAAATGCTGTGAGAAAAGCTGCTCCCAACCATTGTGCTCACAGAAGTAGCTAACTACATAACTCAGCTTCAACCATCAGTGCCTGGATAAGCGAGAACTCAGCTGGAGCCTCCTGAGCCTCTTATGTTTCAGTGTTTTTGACACAACGCCCCTCACTCATAACCTTAAACACAAAGAAAACAAAACCCAGAAACCTACCTGCTTCAAAAATAAGTGTCCTCAAGGCGTGTTTTTGCACGTGACATCATCTCTGAACTTGACATTACTGCCAGATTGTAATCCTGCTCTGTTCCTGTCACCTGCATCTTCTGCCCCTTCAAAGCTAGCTGTTGTAGACATTTTATCTTGATGTGTTTCACCAGAACACTTTGCACACTTTCATACTTGATCTGTATGTGACCTGAGACATGAAGGTACTAAATCCTACAGCACACACGGTGTTCCTGCTGGGGATGTAGAAGAGGACTTGAGAATGAACCTGAAGAACTCCTGTCTCTAAGGGAATCCAGTCAAGCTTGAGAAAGTGGAATATTCTTATGTGTAATAACTCAACTCAGGATTTTGAAGTCCTTCTGAAAACTCTTGTTTTCACCTGTCAAAGTCGGCTTTAAATTAGCAGCAAGCATGTGCTGGGTGCCTGCCCCGTGCCAAGCACTTCACCTGCACCGCCTCACCCCATCGGCATCAGGCAGATCAGTCTCTTGAGGATCTTCAGGCTAAATAAAGCCTTGTGGATAAATCACAGGCCAACTGCTCGCCCTTGTCCACAGCATCTTGTTCACTTCTGATGAGAGAGGTTTTTTGATGCTGGTATTTGAGTGAAATCAGAATCCTCCCAATCTCCACTCCCCAGAAAGCAGTGTGTTCCCCTCACAGTCATTCAGGACTTCGCCATCTAACTGGGGGAATGACCCTGAACCATACTTGGATACCAGCCCTCACACCGACCAAGCGAGCCGCCCTGGGAGGAGGCTTCCTGGAGATGATGTTGCTGGCCTAGCAGTGGGCAGCAGGGCCAGTGTGTGTCCCACGCAGCCATGGTACATGACAGCCATCACAAGACTTCAGAGCAGATCAGCCCATCTGACCGGAAGGCTGCAGGTGTACATGCGTGCACGCACACACGCACACACACACACACACACACACAAGGAAGCCATTGCCACTTGCCATTGTTGTAACTCCTTTGAGTCTTTTCTGCATGATTGCTCTGTGAGAGAGCTTTAAAAAGGGAATTACATTTAAAATATTCGAATATCTATTTTGAGTTTATTACTAGAACCTGCAGCTGAATTGCACATAATAGAGAACTATGTGTTGGAAATGAGTAATAGTACTGCATCGCTCTGTTTTCTCTTCCTAAACTTAAGAGAGTAGCGGGGGGCGGAGCCGGGGGTTGGGGGTGGTGGTGACAGTAGTAGGGGAGGTGGAGGCTCAGGCACCCAGCAAGGCTCGCATGGATTCTGAGTTAGGTCTGGATGGGCTCAGCCCTCCTTCAGGAGGCCAGTTGTCCCCGTTAGGTCCCCCATCGTGGTCACTCTGCTCTAGGACCCTGTGCTTCCCTCTGGCCACCCCACTCCTGGCATCGCCATGGCTCACTCAAAGGCTGAAACCATTCATTGGTTTGAAAACTACAGATGCGTCCACTGCTCAGTCCTTTTCTTTCTCCTCATCTGTGGGTTACCTGAACTTGGCGAAAAGAGTTAACAAACCAACCGTACGTGTTTGTAACACTGTGAGTTCTGCAGCTCTGCAGGAGTGTCTCCACCGTTTTTCTAACTCGCAGAGTAGCCTTTGCCGGTGTTGGCGTCTTCCAGGCGTGTTATGGGGAGAGAAGGTTAGCACCAGCACCTAGCTGTTCTCCTGCCTGTCTTACTCTGTTGGATATGCACTTTACGTATGTTTTTTGCTCTGTTACTTAAACATACAGCAGCCCTGGCAAATAATGTCTAATGTGACTACAGGGAGAAAGTGACAAAATTGCACACATCACACACAGAGCTCTTCTCTATCTGACAGGAGAAAACCAATCGCGTGTTTTCAGTTCCTCTGATGGGACAGTTCCTTCAAAGGGACAATATTAGTGGAGCCTCCAGCTGCCTACATGTTTCCTCAGTAGCAAGAATAGTTTTAGATTAAGTACCTGGAATCTCATGTCATTTTATTTGAAGTCAATTGGTCATAACGTAGTTCTCATTTAATTATTTGAATTATTCAAAGAAACAAAATCACAAAACTGGAAGGGATCTTGAGATCTAGCATGTTCTAAGCAGAAAAACACTTCAGTCATACAGGCAGGCAGACGTAGCCAAGGTGTAAGCAAGAGAATCTTAAAGAATGTTTGTGAACATTGCCTCGTGATGGCCGGAGTGAGAGGAGCAGCTTCCAGTGCCTCGAGACGGGGAGCCCCCTGGAACCAGGTCTGCTCCTCTGACTGTAAGCACATTTGACACTGCGGTGGCCGCCGCCCTCTGGATATAAGTAGGCGGGTTCTGTATGAGGAGGCGATGATCGCAGTTTTCATCCACATAAACTCCTTCCTACACTCATGCCTCACAGTGGCAAAACTGGAGTGGAGTCAGGGGCTCTGAAAACACACCTTCCCCTGTGCGTCACAGGCCCTAGGCGAGTCGCTCAGGCCTGCAGTGTTGGCCTTTCTTAGGGAACGTCACCTCTCCATCGTGCAGATTAGTTGCTAAAGAGTATGACTTCTTTTTGCTTAGCACGAACCAACTCTTAAAGCCCAAATCTTGGCTTTTAAGTAAAAGGCTAGCTCTAAACTACATGTCACAGTTACTGGACACAAACATTCATTCATTAGAGGTTGCTTTGTTTTTGCCTCTTCATAGCAATTTAATTGTATGACAGTGAGCATGTTTACTAAAATTTAAATTTTAAAGTAAAAGAAAGCTTCCTGCCAAAATGTTATTTCACCCTAGTTTAAGACAGGTTAAATTTTTCCTGATGTGATGGTGGGTATTTAATGACTTGATTGTAAAACAGAAGTCAAGGCCATTTTGAGCTCCCAGTTCCCTAGATGAGCCTTGAGATTCTAGCCCAGAGCTACTTGTTGAATGCCCTCGGGAGAACCAGGCTTTGCCCGAGACACTAGGCTTACAAGACCCCCAAGGCCCATTCTCTGGCCAGGGTGAGGCCACACGTGGGTAGATGGAGGATGGTGGCACCAGGTTATGAACACAGGGCCCCACCCACAGCACCTCAGCTCCGCGGGAGGGGCTTCAGAGAGGAAAGGGCCTCGCAGCCGACGTCAGATGTGGCCGAGTGAACTGAGGGAGGGGAGGAAAGGAAATGACCGCAGGCTGCAGGCACGGTGTCGGTAAAGCCGAGAGCTGGGCTCCGCCTGTGTGTGCAGGGCCCACAGGGGCTTGGCGTTGCCTGAGAAGGTTGAGCAGCTCAGCCACAGTCCCGGAGCCTGAACTGGACACTGTGAGGTGTGGCTGCCCGTGGCCCTGGAGACGATGCAACACACAGTGCCCGAGGAGCGGCTCTCGCAGAGTTTCAGCCTCTAGCCAGCCCCAGCATGCGTTTCTGTCTCTTTGGAAGTTTAGAACTATTCCCTGAGGATGACCCATGGTGACTAATTGGTGGTCTCTCTGCGAGGCTGGCAGGTGGCGCTGGACACATCACACGCACCGCCCTGGTCCAGGAAGGACTTCCGGGCTCCTCCTTAGCAGGGCCGGGCTTGGCTCACCTGCTGCACTTGGGAAAAGACCCTGACCCATCACGGGGTTGCGCTGGACTCATCTACAGCACTGCGTGTTTTGGTGCACAAGCGGCAGCCGCCGCCTTCCCTGTTCTTGGCCTCAGCTTGCCTGTTCTTGCAAGTAGCGGATCCTTTGAGCACAGCGTGGTGCATGTGGTAAATGCTCATCCCAGTGCCTCTTGGCAAGTGGAAGTGAACGGTTTTTCTCAATTCAGTTGTGGAAACGGCTCGGGGCAGCCACAGCCAGGGAGCCCTGGCTCTGCTGAAGTGGGGAACATGTGTGTTTGTGGTTAAACTTCAGCTCAGCTTTAGAGCGGGAGCCACGCTCTACCCACCGGAGTTTCCGTTGGTGTTTTCACCGACCAACGGCCTCTCAACCCAGAAGCCTGTTTTAGCCCGCACACAGAGCAGTGGCTGAAAATTAGATGTGTCCTAAACGGGAGTGGGATGCCCCCCTTTTATTCCCCATGCCAGGGAATTTTTTTAAATAGTAGTTAGCACCTTGACCGAGAAGTCAGAAAGGAGATTGAAGCTCCAAGTGAGGTATAGATGCGCTAGTCATCCTTAAAGTTGTTCCAGCTCTGTGGCCTACGATTCCATGAATCCAATTTATGATTAGACCGGCCTGAGCCATTCCCAGTGACCGGCCCACGCGTGTGTGGCTGACAGCTCAGATGATGAGAGCGTGTCACCATGCCTTTGTTGCCTTGTGTCGTACCTAGCGAATTCCTTTCCAGATTTTCCCATACTCAGCCTGGGACACTCGGTTTTAGAAAAAGATGGTGAAGATGGGAGTTAATCACGGTACTATCTCATTAAAAACAGATACCTCAAAATGTTCGTCTCTGTGAGTCAAGAAGAGTGTCTGACTTTCTTGGGAGAGGGCACTCAGGTTGGCCCAAAGGTTAGATTTAAAATCCCACTTTGATGTTTGTGGGTCTTTCTCTTTTTGTTTCTCCACTCTGGGGCAAACAGAAGAGTCGGCTGTAAGCTCACAAGAAGGGGAAACGGTTCGAAGATAGTATTGCACTTTTTTATCATTTAAAGGGATGCAGCCTTCTGTCATAGGGTACGCCAGTACAAAGTATGGACCAAAACACTTGTGTCACTCTTAACCATTGTATTCTTACATGTTTGTTCTTGCGCTATTTGCCTTGTTTTTCAAAAGCAATCAAAATGGCTTTGATTTTCAAGGTACCGTTGTTTTGCCGAAGAAAGTCTTTATATACAAAATATAAAAACTGTTATTAACTGGACAGGGAAGGTGCTAGCCCCACATTAGTGCCTTCCCAACTCCTTATTCATAACCAGGGACACGGACATGCTGCACGTCTGCTGGGCCAGTGGCCCACATCTGGACCCAGCTGCGGCGGGCCTGTTGCTTTATAGATACCTTTTTCTTTTCCTTTTATGAAATGAAGAGCTTGCCCAAGGGGCCGGGCTGAGAGGCTGGTAAGCATGGAGCTGCAGCAGGTTACACCAGTCTGGCTGCACCCCTCTCTGCTCTCTGCCACTGGCTTCCCCCAGCCAGCCTTGGCACTGAGCTCCCGGATGTGCAGGTGGTATCAAGCAAGACTTTCCTCTGATGTCAGAGCGTCTGCAGCCGGTGCCTCCGGGCGCTGCTGAGCGTCGGGAATGCGTTTATGCACTCACTTTCCCACTGTGCTTCCTTCTAACCTAAATGTCCCTGTAGCCATTACCAATGTAAGACTCATAGTGCAGAGTCGCCTCCATGGTGTGAAATAAACCTGTGCAAACCTTCCTGCAGCCATGGTCCCATCATTGTGCTTACATGTGACTTCACACACCCCAGCAACCCTGCTTTGGTGGTACCCTTTGTGGGTTCGGCCCAGTGCCGGGGGCTGGGGGTGAAGGGGAGATCCTCCTGTACTGAGCGGTCCAGATGTCCAGAAGCCCAGTCCAGAGGCAGAGGTGAGCCACCATCCTCCACAGGCTCTGAGCACAGCCATGGGCAGTAGCCATGCCTTCCTTTTCATTTTCTTTACCGTTCATATTAGTCTGCTTTTACTGTGTTTCATAGAAACTTTCCAAACAAGGAGAAAACATTTCAGGGCAAATTCAGCTAGGAAAGCCTCTTTTAAAACCCCATGAAGTCCAGGTTACAGAGAAGGAAACAGGTGCAAAGAAATTAAGTGGCCATGGGCCAGCATTGTGGTGCAGTGGGTTAGCCACTGCCTGCAATGCCAGCATCCCATATGAATGCCAGTTCAAGTTCCCGCTGCTCCACTTCCAATATCCAGCTCCCTGCTAATATGCCTTCAGGGAAGTAGTGGAAAATTGCCCAGATGCTTGGACCCCTGCACCCACGTGGGAGACCCAGATGGAGTATCAGCCTCCTAGCTTCTGCCTGGCCCAGCCGTGGCCATTGCACCCATTTGCAAAGTGAACCAGCCAATGGAAGATCCGTGTCTGTGTGTGTGTGTGTGTGTGTGTGACTTTGCCTTTCGAATAAGTAAATCTTCTAAGAAAGGAAGGAAGGAATCAAGTGACCTTAACAATGTGGAACAGCAGCCAATGAGGTGGCCAAGTGCCCCACTCTCACCCTGCTCTCCAAGGCCCTGTGCCTGGTGCTGCCAGCACAATTCATTAGCTCCCAGCACTGCAGAAAGAAAGCACAGACAGTCAAATGGTGCCAGGCAGGTGCACCCAGAACAATCCTTTTCTTGGGGGTCCTTGGCTGATGAGCCCTGTATCTGAATGTCTCAAACCCCACCAAGGAGCCGCATCCATCAGGGGTCTCCTCTGCTGTGGGGCATGAGTCATGTTCACGTCACCTTAAATACCAGGAACCTGGGTCCAGGAATTCTAAATCTGTTCCTTGGTTTTGTTACAACTTTCTCATATGTCACGAAGTGGTAAACTGTCCAAGTGTAGCACCAGACTACCAGGTGCCCCCGCAAAGCCACTCTTCATCTTAAGCAGATGTACAGTAGGCCGTATTTACATTGTCTATGAAAATATGCCTCATTGCCACAGTGGTGTACCTGGGGTGGGGGGTGGGGGACAGCTGTTCACTTCCAGTGTTTTTTAAGGTGATTCTGGCCCCATACTGGGTATGGCCTGGCCTTATTTATTTATTTATTTAAGACTAATTTATTTATTTGAAAGGCAGAGTTGAGAGAGAGAGAGAGATGGATGTTCCCTCCATTGGTTCACTCCCCAAATGGAAAAAAAAAAAAAAAAGGGTTGGGCCAGGCCGATCCAGGAGCCTGGAACTCCATCCAGGTTTCCCACGTGGGTGGCTGGGGCCAAACACTTGAACTATCTTCTGTTGCTTTCCCAGGTGCATTAGCAAGGAGCTGGATTGGACGAATAGCAGCTGGGATTCAAACTGGCACTCATGGGATGGATATAGTATAGCAAGCAGTGGCTTAACCTGCTGTACCATGATACCTGCCCCTGGCCTGGGCTGTTTAAATCTCTGAGTCAGCTCTTGCAGGATTTCAAGAATCTCTCTTGCCGGTGAAGAGGATGCTTTAGCAAAAGGCAGATGTGTGAGAACTGGTTTCTGATCGACAGGTGAGTTGCCGCGGTACACATCAGCCTCGGCCCCTACTGCTGCTTAGGCCCCGTCACTCAGTCACCTGGCACCTGCTGGGCCAGGGGCGGGGCCCACAGAGGAGGCGCCACAGGTCAGTACTGTGAAGGGAGAAGTTAGAGGTGAGTTTTGACAGGTTCACAGAGGTTCTCCAGGCAGGCACCACAGCTGGGGTGGAATTTTGGACATGATAGGTGGCAACCAGGGCTGGAGGGGGGCACACGTGGGCAGCCGGGGTAGGCAGCGCCACCATCCTCCTGGGCTCCCCACAGATCATTCAGGCAAGGGTGGTTATCTCAGTAGTGGGGTGGAGCACTTGAGAAAGCATGGGGTCTGCCCAGGCAAGTGTTCCAGCCTCTGGAGCCTGGCCCTGGGGGTGGGGCCCCTCAACTCTGCCCCCAGGGGTAGCACTGTCCCAGATGAGCCTAACTTCTGTGGATCCTGGCCGCTGGTTCCCTGGACTTTTTTGTCTTCCTTTTAGGGAGGACTAGAAGGAGGGACTTTTCATGCTTCCTCTGCACGTGTGCATCCCAGAGCTCCCCAGAGGTGCTCTCCACAAGCTGTGGCTGCCCGGCCTGGCCCCAGGCCATCGGTGGCCCTCTGCTGCCCACTGCCCCCTGCCAGCCTGCCCAGGCACGCGCTGGCAGTGGGCAACACCTCGACTTCACACAGACCTCAGGGGACACAGCATCTCTGCCGTGAGCACACTGGGAGACAGCAGTACTCTCCGAAGCTGAGGGGAAAAGCAACCAGAGGAAAAAACCTGGAAGAACCTTACTGAGACCACAGAATTGAGACAGGCAGAATCAGCTCATCTAAGGCTATCATTTGATGTCTTCTTTTTCCGGAAGCAATCTTGTTTACTGGGAGGAAAATGGATATACCGATGACAGAAAAGAAGGAATGTGAAACCCTCTGCCGCGGCCCTCAGAGACCACACCTGTCCCCGTCTCGGCCCCTGCCCAGCCCTCTGGGGCCTCTAAGGCACCCGAGAGGCTCAGTGGGAACTTGGATGACAGATGGCACCTGCATCCTAACCCAGATCTCCCATCCCAGCCGTGGCCTTGCTGCACACAGATTTTGGTAAACATGCCAGTTCTTGGAGTTGTTAGGATGGTGTAGGTCAGGGGTGTAAGAAGCTGGGGGCCTGACAGGCTGAGCCAAGCATGTCCCCCACTAGGAATGAGAAAAACGGAGAAGCCACGCCCCCCAAGTGCCCCCGGTCTGTCTGCCCTGGCGTGCCTGGCTGAAACCCCCCGCATGGTGTGTGTACCAGGAGATGGCGGGCCACCTCCGCTCTGGGCAGAAGAGGCCCGTTTCTGCCGTGTCTCCAAGCCAGGTCTCTGCAGGTGCCACACGGCACCCACTGACTCCTCTTAAAGGAAGATCGGAGGGTGTGTACTATTTTGGAAGCCTGTGTCTTCATTTAACGACACAGAGCAGACAGTGTGCCTTTTCCATAGACATCTATCAGCAGCAGCTTCCAGACCCAAACAGATCTCTTTTGTACAGGCGTCCCATGATGCATTCACTTCGTCGCCTGTCACCTGTGCTGGGATGAATAGCCTTGTTTTCCATCTCTTCTTAGGATGAATTCCAAGGATGTGTGTGCACATTTTAAAGCTTTTGGCACAGCACTTAGGATGCCGCATGAGATGCCTGCATTCCATGCTGGAGTGCCTGGGTTCTAGTCCTGGCTCTGCTCCGGATTATAAAGATTTATTTATTTATTTCAAAGGCAGAGTGACAGAAAGGGGGGCAGAGATCTTCCATCTGCTGGTTCACTCACCAGATGCTGTAACAGCCACAGCTAACCCAGGCCAAAGCCAGGAGCCAGAAGCTTCACCTGGATCTCCCACATGAGTGGCAGGGGTCAAGCACTTGGGCCATTATCCACTGCCTTCTCAGTCCATTAGCAGGGAGCTGGATTGGAAGTGGAGCAGCCAGGACACCAACTGCAGCCCATATGGGATGCTGGCATCCCAGGCGATGGCTTTACCCGCAATACTGGCCCCTCTGCTCCGGATTATAGCTTCTTGCTAATGTGCACCCTACAAGGCAGCAGGTGGTAGCTCAAATACTTGGGTTCCTGTCACCTGTGTGGGAGACCTGATTGAGTTCTGGGCTCTTGGCTCCAGCCTGGCCCAGCCCCAGCTGTTGCAGGCTGTGAACTGGCAGCTGCAAAGTTTCTCTCTCTGCTCTCTTTCTCCCTGTCTGCCTTTCAAAGAAATAAAACATTTTGTTTAGAACAAGGCTCCTAACAAGTAGTGGCCCTCAGAAAGGCTGTGCCAGTGGTGCAGGAGAGAGTGCCCACTTCTGAAACCACCACAGGTGGCACCCACCCCCCAGGGACTGCAAGGACACCAAGACAGCACTTGGCCCCATGTGGCTGCCAACTGCTGCTAATTTTAGTTCCCGCTTTGGGGAGGAGGAAGGCGCTGCAGGGAGCACCTGGGAGCAGCTGCAGGTTCTGCGCCCCTTCATTGCTGCTCCAACACACTTCCCGGAACCCAGGCTCCTCAGTGGTTTCACCGACATTGTGTGCTCAGTCTTTCCCAAAACCCAGGGAGCGCAGAGGTGGCCTGGGCCTGTCCCCATGTGTCCTTGCCTCTCCCGTTGACACCTCTCAGCCCCCGCTCATCCCTAACAAGAACAAGGTGCAGTGCCCTCTCATCAGGACATGCTGTCCTTAGGAGGGCCCAGGAGGATGGGCCCCACAGGCACCCACCCCCACCAGGCTCTGCACAAGGCAAGCTGGAGACAAAAGCTTCCCCTCTTTGGCCCCCAGGCGCCTCCACTCAGATGCAAATGAAGCAACTCCCTGGTCCTGACACTGCTTTTAGGTCATTCCTGGGGAGATTGGATCCTGAGGCCACTCAGATATTTCGAGACAGCAGCTCAGCCATTAAAGGATATGGCAAAGCTGGAGTGTCGGCCCAACCAGGATGCACCAAGGACACAGCGGTGGCAGGGTGCACCTGGGTGCACTGCTCGGTCAGAACCACTCATCACACCCCCTGGGCACCCGGATGCTCAGTGAGCCAGGGTGGAGTCTGCCCACCTCTCGGATGCTCCTGGCCCCCAGCGCGGGCTGGCACTGACAGACTGCCATTCAGACGGAAATCAGCTCTTGCCTTCAATGGAGTGAAGCAAGCATACTGGAGACACTGGAGAACACACCAGTTATAAACAGTAAAGGTCATGGCTTCTCCCTGGAGGGTGGCGAAAGCCCACCTGGGTCTGGCAGAGCTGAGCTGAGCTCCTGATGGAGAAGAGGAGGGCCCCCAGCCAGGGAGGACGCTCAGTGCTGCTGCCGAGTACACAGCTCCCTGAACGCACTCCCTCAGAAGCCAGACCGCAGTCCTGGAGACACCACCAACTCTCCACGTTTTGTGCACAGCCATAGTTCCATTAAATGCTGTCCTTTCTCTCTCGTTTTAAATTTTTATGTATTTGAAAGGCAGAGAAATAGAGAGAGAGAGATCTCCCATGTGCTGGCTCATTCCCCAACTGCCCACAATAGCTGGGGCTGGGCCTGGGCCAGGCCAAAGCCAGGAGCCTGGAACTCTATCAGGGTCTCCCACATGGGTGGTGGGGACCCAAGCACTTGGCCTGCCTCCCACTGCTTCTTGGCACAGGATGCCAGCGTCACAGGCTGCAGCTTAACCCGCTACACCACAATGCCGGCCCCCATCCTGACTGGAGATCATGGGGGTTCCACTTCTGAGCCAAGGTCAAGACCGCTACCTACAACAGATGTCACAGGAATGTCAAACACACACTGCGGCCCTCCCCCTTCTCTTCTACCTGGGCGACAGTGCATCAGATGTCTTGTTGCCATTGTGACAAATAACTATAAAATTGTGGCTTCAGACAATTCTGTTAGAGTTCTGGAAGTCAGAAGGGCTGCAGTCAAGATGGCAGCAGGGCCGTGCCCCTCTGTAGCTCTGGGGAGAATCTGCTGCTTGCCTCCTCCAGCTTCTGAGGCCGCCTGCCTCATGTCTCAGTCTCAGACTGTGGCCCCCTCACTCCCTCTTAATAGAACCCTTGGGGTGGCACCAGGCCCACCAGGATAACCTGGGATGCACCACCCCCAACTCAAGACCCTTAGCATCCACATCTGTCAAGCCCCCACTGCTGGCTAAAGGTGACAGACACAGGTCCCGGACATGAGGATGTGGACACGGGGTGTGTGTGTAGGGGGCATTATTCTGCCCACTATGGCAGAGGGAAGGCGGCCCATATAAGCAGGCTTCTTCTGTCATTCAAACCCACTGGGGCAGAGCAAGCCCCATTGGCCTGTCCCTTTCCTTTGAGAAGCAGGGTGTCCAGGAAGCACGCCCACCCCCACTGCCCTCCGTCTCGATGCTTCCCAGTGCTCACAGGACCGTGGGAGAAGCCTGCACTCCCGTCTTAAGCACAGCTTTTGGCATGACTGCATCTCCCTTTTGGCCCCCTGGGCAGAACTGGGTTTTCCCTGGATGTGCCCAGATGGCCCCCTTGGCAAACCTGCCCCAACTTCCCACCAGGAACAAAGGCCATTGTTCTCAAAACACCCCCAGAAGGTCCGCTGGCCACTCTATGGCTGTGTTCTTCCCTCAGCCCTGGGATCGGGGTGGTAGCGCGAGGACACGCGCCTGAGCAGGCACAGGTGGTCCCTGTGGGCAGGAGCTCTGAGGAAGGTGAGGTGGGCCCTGAGCACCTGTGCCCGGAGGACAAGCGGCCTCTGCCTCCCCCTCTCTGGTGGGGTCTCAGGTGCAGCGTGGACACTGGCTAGTGTGGCTACTGCTTGCTGGTTCGCTGCTTCTCAGTCTCTTCAGGTTTTCCTGGCCCCAGGACTGAGAGAAAGATCGCTTCTGGCCTCCTGTACCGGGAGGAAAAGGCGTGTGCACTAGAGGGACACAGATTGCAGAACTGCATATACGCCCACTTTACGGAAGGAAAGCCGCAGACACACACACACCAGGGGCCTGCAGAAAGCTCATGGCAGATGTGTAGCATGGGAAAATGACGCATGGATTTCAAAATGTCCGCACCATAAACACTTCCCTTTCAATTCCATTTTCCACTAATTTCTCTGAAGTACCCTTGTACATATGTCTAGCCTGCACACAGAAAAATATGAATATGAAATTTAGCAACACTGCTTATGTCTCAAGATTGAGATTAAGTTAAGACTTTCACTTTTTACTATACTTTCTGAACTGTTTGGATTTGAATATTTTTACAATAAGCATGTAATTTTATGATTATTTCTGCAATAAAAAATATAACTATAGGGACTGGTGCTGCAGGTAAAGCCACCGCCTGCAGCACCGGAATCCCAAATGGGTGCCAGTTCGAGTCTGGGTGCTCCATTTCCGACCCAGCTCTCTGCTATGGTCTGGGAAAGCAGTAGAAGATGGACCAAGTCCTTGGGCCCCTGCACCTATGTGGAAGACCTGGAGGGAGCTCCTGGCTCTTGGCTTCGGATCGGCCTGGCTATGGCCATTGCAGCCATTTGGGGAGTGAACCAGCAGATGGAAGACCTCTCTCTCTGCCTCTGCCTCTCTGTAACTCTACCTTTCAAATAAATAAACAAATCTTTAAATATATATATGTTTTAATGGAGTGAGAGAAAATATTGCTGAAGCATATTTGACACAGAAAAATATTCATAATATATATGGAATGAGAAGTTCTGAAGTGGTGGGAATAACACAATTCCATTTTTGTGAGAAAAGATGTCATACACAAGAGAAAATGTCTGTAAGCATAGTATTTTGGTGCACTAAAATGTTAAAAATGTTCATCTCTGAACAGTGGAATTACTATTTTTATGTTCTTATTCCCACCTGTATTTTTTTAATTAATTTATTTATTTGAAAGTCAGAGTTACACAGAGAGAGAGGAGAGGCAGAGAGAGAGAGAGAGAGAGAGAGGTCTTCCATCTGATGGTTCACTCCCCAATTGGCCACAACGGCCAGAGCTGTGCCGATCCGAAGCCAGGAGCCAGGAGCATCTTCCGGATCTCCCGCACAGGTGCAGGGACCTAAGGACTTGGGTCATCTTCTACTGCTTTCCCAGGCCATAGCACGGAGCTGGATCATAAGTGGAGCAGCCGGGACTCAAACCGGTGACCACATGGGATGCCAGCACTTCAGGCCAGGGCGTTAACCCGCTGCGCCCAGTGCCGACCCCTCCTACCTGTATTTTTTTTAAACAATGCCCGTATATTACCTTGTGTTTTTTAAAATATTTATTCATTTATTTGAAAGGCAGAATGACAGGGAGAGACAGAGAAGACAGAGAGCTTCCATCGCTGGTTCACTCCCCACATGCCCCCATCAGCCCAGGCCAAGCCAGGCCAAAACCAGGAGCAAAGAACTGCATCCAGTCTCCCACTGTGGGTGGCAGGCATCCAAGTACCCTGGCCATCACCTGCTGCCTCTCAGACACATTAGCAGGAAGCTGGATTGGAGGCAGAGGAGCCGGGACTCAAGCCACACTCTGTGGAATGCAGGCATCCCACCAGCAGCTTAACCCACTGAGCCACAACGCTCCCCCCACCTCATGTTTTAAAGCAGGGTGGCTGAAGTCTCCTACCCCCAGGTGACCTGGGAATCGAGTAAGGGACTGCAGTGGGAGGCCCTGGGATGCTTTCCGAGCTACGTGTACGAGCAGCTCTCCCTGTGGCTTCACACGCCGCTGTGTGTCACTTGCACCCGGCTGGCAGAAGCAGCCTGGCATGGAGGGGAAGGCGCTGGAGGTGGAGCCCTGGCAAGCGGCGTAGCACTGTCAGCCCTGGTCTCTCCGTAAGGAAGGGAGATCACAGCCGACCAGCCCACTGCGCAGCATCAGAGAAATACAAATGTGTGTGGCTTCTGGGAGGACCAGGAAGTTCTCTAGGCAGGTCTGCTCTGTCAGTTCATCGTGGGGTTACCATTTGTCATTCTGAGTCGTGACCTTCCTCCCACACAGCATTCTTAGTGGTCCACGGCCCAGTTTCTTTTCGGAGAGGCCTGCCTTGTCCGTCACACCTGCGGGTTTGTACGGTCTCCTGAACAGCTGTTAATCTCACAGGTGCCTTCTCATATCTGCGGCCAGTGGCCCTCTGCGATTCCACCTGCGAGCAGAAAGCACTTCTGCCCAAAACGATCTGCCCTGGCCGAGCCTCAGCCTTGACCGCTCAGAGTCAGGGAAGCAAAAGCTGGCAGACCCAGCTGCTTCTCCCCTGCCCCCCCCCCCCCCCCCCCGCTCCTCCAGGACAGGGAGAGCTGTGGTGAGCCCAGGAGGTGCGCATGGGTTTCGTTTCCTGTTTGTGACACTGCAGTCGCCCGCAGGGGGCCTGGCTGGGCCACTCTTCCCTCCTCCAGGGCACCCCAGGGGGCAGGTGCTTTCACAAAACCGCTAGGGAAACAGCACAGCTTCTGGCCACGGGACTTCAGGTCTTCTTAAAATCTCCCTTTCCCCAAGCCCACGAAGGGGCCTTTCCCCCTCCCTCCGTGTCCAGCTTCCATCGAGGGAGCAGAGCTGAGACAGCAGAAGTTTATGTGCGGCCCTCAGGACACGCGCCACTGCTCACTCCCGGCAGGCGGGGGCGCTGCTCTCTCCGCAGCCACCAGCATCTTGCAATCCCCAGCCACCCACTCAGGCCCTTCCGGTGCCATCGCAGAGTCTTTTCAGGCCAGCAATCACCTGCTGAATTAATAATGTAAAACATATAAGGAAGATATGTGCCCACACGGAGGGAGTTACAAAAATTAAAAGAATTAAAAGATAAACTTAGAGGCCTTATGGTGTAGAGGGTAAAGAGCCCACTTGCGGTGCTGACGTCCCACATGGGCACAGGTGCCGGCGCTGGTTTGAGTCCCGGCTGCTCCACTTCAGATCCAGCTCTCTGATAAGGCCTGGGAAAAGCAGCAGGAACTTGTTTACACGTCACTGACTTGGGGAACGTGGCCCCAGGTGCTCCCTGCCCAGCTCCACGCCTGTCCTCAACACCTGAGCCAGTGTCACTCTCCTGCCCCCCAAATCTCCCAACACACCGGGTTCCCCCCGGAACAGGGAGGAGAAAAACAGCCTGGTGTAGTCAGCTTTGGAGATGTGCCCTGTGCTCTCCCCACCCCACTCACCCTGTTTCTATCAGCAAGGAGCACAGAAGTGAGCGTTAGTCTGGGCCTGACCC